TGTTTATATGAAAAACGTTTTAGCATTTAATCTAATTATTATGTGAACTTGACAAAAATCATACAAAACCAACTGACATAAATATCAAATATTTAAGTATAAATATACAATTTATCTTAGGTATTAATATTGTCTCAAATCAAGATAATCACATAGCTCTAGAAAAAGAGTTGACAATTATATGATCTTTAACTTGAAATATGCCACACACTGGCATAAATCCTGCCTGTCAATTTACTGACCTAAGAATTAAATTATCAAATTTAAAATATTAAGTGAAAGTAATTTCAATGTTAAATTCACTATCAGATATAATGTAATGTTATTAATATCAATGTATACTAAGAGTAAAATAGGAAAAAGAGTATTGATTGAGGAATTTGATATTTGGCAGTGTTCCAGGATGTCTGGTGTGGTAAAATAATGAAATATTGACTGGACGACATGACTTGTGATTCTTAAGTGATAAAATCTCCCCTCCTACTATCAGTATTTCCTCTCTTCTTATTCATAACAAAGATTTCAATGTAATATTTTAAGTTCACCACTAATATATGGCTAATATTACTGAAATATTGTTCTATATAATCTAGGCCAGCAGTGATATCTAATTAATTCTACTTCCCCGTATTTTATATCCTGTAAGAAAATTGTATGAATCTTTTTCTTAAATCTTTATGAATAATTTTGTCAGACAAGGATAATTACATACATCTAGGGAAAATTCCAATCATGGACAAGACTAATTTTTGGGTGAATAAATTGTAAAATTAAAAATGTACAAATCAAATGTGTGTATGTTCAAATTTTTTTTTTTAGCTTATGTCTGTCTGTCAGGTACACTTATGTGCAGTTGTTTTCACCATTCCAATCTCAATAGACAAGTAAAGTAGTTCCTGTAATTCTAGGCTTATAATGTCAAAAGTACCATTTTGCTCATTTATGATCATGTTGGTGTATTATACAAATTGTTAAATGTTCATATTTTGCAAAGTAATATTTGAGGACATCTGGTCATTGGTTGCTTTAAAGTTTTCCTACTTTTCTTTAGACAATTTTTTTCTCACTAGGAGCCTAAGTTAATAACCTGTAAAAAAGTTATTTCGATACTGAGGTAGATGTTAAAGGCTGATGAAGTTATATTGACATTCTGTGTTTAAGACATGTCAAGAGCCTGGTTGTTCAATTTCTGTCATTTGTTTTGTAGTTAATTATTGATTGGCTCAATCAGGTAAAACATGTTTACTTTCATTATTAGGTCAGATTGACATATTTTTGAGAGCATTTGGAATAAATAGTGATTGTGTCCAGCACTCTTAATATCAGTGATGTAATTAATGATTTGATCAAGGTCTGATCTATGAAAGTGATATTTATAGATTGAATTGAGCTCTATCATCTTATAAAGGATATATGTAGATGATTCTGTCCAATTAAGTTTGCTATGAATTATATTTATTTATATCAGCTTGAATACTGGACTATTCCAATTCATTTTGATTTGGTCTCTCTGTGCACGACCATTTTCTCTCATTCTCTTAGACCTTTAGAATATTAGCTTTGTAACAATATTTGATGGCAAGGTCTGGATTTGTTTGTTCTTCTTTGATTTCAATTCAATGGGAAGGGTCAAGTACTTGATATTAGTCATTGACTGTTGAGTGAATGGTAGACAATGACTGAGTAAGTTATGGTACGATATAAGGTGTTTTTTTTCAACTCCCTTATTTTACAGTTATAAATTGATTCATTACGTTTCATTATGGTGAAATCATTGACTAAACTATTTATGGAGTAAACTTAACATGTTTAATGAGATGAAAGATAGATGATCCTTTCTTGGCTCAGTTTCTCTTCTGTAGAGCAGTAAGCAAAATACAATATTGGTATCTAAAAATGCCCCAGACAAGGACTTTTCCTACATTTTGTGAAGAACCTTTCTTGTATGACGTGCTTATGCTAGCATGTTTCCTATCCTAGTTCTGCATAATACTCAAAAAGATATGTATGACTGTTTAAAACGGTCTGTGTCTAGACTATTAGCTTGTATTAACAGCTGTAAAAGTGTTTAACTAACTGGATAAATTGATGTGAAGTATTGGCAATGAGTAAAAGAAATATTTGAGGTTTGAGTCATGATGAAAGAGTTAAGAAATAGTAAGATTAGTTGTTGTGTATAGTATTGTTACTGTCATTAGCCTGATTTAAGATTCTAGCTAGGTCATACTATCAGGTACAAATTATATTGGTATGGTATGAATCACCTGGCTATTACTAAAATCATGACTTCCTGTTGCATGCTCTGTACTGAAAATCATCCATTTGATTTTTGGAACCATAGAATTATTTGCTGCCATATATATATCATTTAAGCCATTGTTTATAACTGGTCTATTTTATCTCACTTTTTCATCTACAATTGATGCTCTCAGGTTTTCCTTTATTATACCCAGAAAATCAGAAATTCAGAATAATGGCCAGTGATAATAATGAAAACATTCTGTAAAAATCAATGGTAATATCTGAGATATAAATTTGACCATCAACTTAGACTGGCATTAACCATGATCAGTATTTTGATCTATTTTAATCTCAGAATCAGGCTTGATCTAGTCTCATTGTTTTGAGGATGACTTTATAATGCATTGTTCTGAATAATATGTAACAGTAGGTTAGAATATAGTTGTAAAATAATAAAAGTCTGTAAAGAAGTAACTAAAGGACCAGAGTGTTTATATATACTACAAGTTAAATGTCAAGAGGTTAAGGTAAAACATGATAACTATTTCACCTATTTATCTAGAATTTAATTTAGATACCTTTTACACCTCCTCTTAAATTAACTTACAATAACCTTAAACTGGATCTCATTTTCAGTATAGAACCAGCTGATTAGTTGATTTTCTGGTGTGTTGGCAAAAAAAAAATCATGATATGAAAGTGTCCTTGTATGAGAGGGTGGCTCATATCAACCATACTACTGTCAGAATCTAAGAGCAACTTAATTTTAACAACATATAAGAGAATCTAGTTGACCTAAGCTTGACTCAAATATTGCTGTGCCAGTTGTCAGGTGTTCATGTTATCAATATGAAATTATGCTTAATTGATATGTTAATATGGCCATTGATTTTACTGTTTAATGGAGTTTATCTATGGACAGGAACTCAATATCCTGTTGATAAAATCATAATAAATAAATATAATATTGATGACTAAACAATTCTGGCTGTTTACTTCTGGTTACAATGTTACATAGTATTTTGGATTGTTAATTAACTAAAACTTACTGTGGCATTTAACAAATAGCCATTCACCTCAAACAATAGTTTCCTATTTTTAACAAAATTCACTTTTATTGTTAGCATCTTTCAGAAGCAAAAATAAACAATACAAATTTATTGAATTTGGAAAATGTTTGTTATTACATTCAATTAATTCTATATTAAAATACAGCAAATAAAAAAAAATAATGATGGGATGGAATGGTGATAAAATTATTGATCATAAATATGACATATGTTACCTTTAAAATCAATAAAACCACATTCTTTTCACCTGAATCATACCTAAATATCGAATATTGTATTGGTGAAAAATATTTTATTGACAATCATGATTTATATAAGAGCTCAAAGGGGGGCAACTATAGGGAACCAAAGCTACAAATTGATATTAAAGTTCAAAAAGTATACTCAGACCATGATTTCTGTAGCCTACAACTTAATGTATGTTTATAAATATCTCATTGGGTGCAATCCTAGAAAAACCATGCTTTAAGTAAGCTACTTTAAAATTGTCAAGAAAAATTATTTTTTCAGTGAGATTTTCTATATATCAAGGGAAGTAACTATATTTCTCATAAACTCTGTTTTGTTTATTTCAGGATTTAAAAGTTGGGATAATGAAGGCACAGGTGTAGATATTAATGATGAATTGGCACAGATTGCAAATAGAGCATCTCTTGGTGAAGAAGGACCTAATGGTGGGTATAAATGGCTCTTTGTAAAACATTTCTGTAGGCTATCATATTAGAAAATTCTAACAGGGATTCAAAAGTTTTTAACCTTTATATTTAGCATTGATATTTTCAAAATACAAATAGTAACATGACAAGTGAAAGATACCGTACAAAAAACTTTTGCATCCCTACCTTTCAAAGAAATTGCACTTCACTTTTGTTATGAGTCACCAAGCATTCAATGCATGCATCATCAGAATCAAATGCATAGTTCTTATTGTGTGGAATAAAGGAAGTTCTATCAACCAGGCGGTCAATATTCTTTCTGTTAAAGTAATCTGATTTTCAATTTTCTGAATCAAGGTTCAGGTATATATAAGTATACTGAATTACATTTATACTAATTTCCACATATTTTTCTACATTGTTAGTTGTCACAAAAGGAGGTAAGAGGCATGATCAAATCTCCAAATTCGGTCCCGAGCTTAGCTCTCATTTATTTTCATGCCATTTCATTGTAGATAGTTAACATTAGATTGATTAGCATGATCTCATTCTTTTGAATTCCTTTGAAAATGCACCAAATTATATTGTTGATTTTCATCCCAAATCTTTTATTAGATATTCTTCAGCTTATGAAACATTTAGTTTTGTTTACTTTTAAATATTTTACAATAACCCAAATTTTCTTCATTTCAGTTACTTTAATTTACTTTCATTTTCTTGTTCTAAGCATTTGTAGAAAATGATACTTGAATGTAGAGCAATTCTAAAAACTCTGTAAAAACTTTTAAATCTGATTTGAATGCAAAATTAGACGTTTCGTGCAATGTTTTTCTTCCGTGGGTGTTTTCATTTGTCGACCATGATCTGACAGAATTTATATGCATCACATGTTCTAGCATTTAATATTCAATTAATCAAATGCTCTATTCAATATGAAGTTCCTGTACTAAATGTGTGGAAATCTTGGTTAGTCACTGTTCAACACAACATCTTAGATTTCTAATTCTCAGATTTTTATTTTTTTTATTTTTCAGGAGAACGGTTGATAAGACACGGTTCTGATAATGTAGCTGTTGAAATTTTGATCGATCCTCAAACACAGAGCGTTACCAACGCCTTGAAAAGTTTTCTAGTCTTGCCAGTGCCAAATAAATTTTTGATATTTGCTGGACATGCCTTTAAAGGTTCTGGAGATTGGGTTCTTCAAGATGGAATCTTCACATTTAAGAAATTAGCACATATCCTGAATGATGCTGAAGTTCAAACAGCATTAAAAGATCAGCTGAATGCTTCTCTTACCATGCATTGCTTGGCCACCGGGGATTGGAACAGTAACATTTCAAAACAAGAATTCTCGAAAATTATTTCTTTACATGTAAATCCATCTGAGAAATTAGATAATGTACATGGTATATTACAATTTTCTACATATGTTAGTAGCTTTATAAAAGTTAGAAACCTAATGGATATGTTACCTGCCTCAGATGTTATTGGCAGTATTAGCTTTAATAAACCTACATTATATATTTTTCCTGGTTGTCAAGGAGATGCTGCTCTCTTTGGCATCAAAGGCTTTCATTTATTAGTAAATGCTGGTTTTAATAGAAAGGCATGCTTTTGGGATTTTACACGCCATTTAGATAGAATAGATGCTGTTTTATTGACACACTTGGGTGCAGATAATCTTTTTGGCATAAATTCAGTATTAAAAAGAAAATGCCTGGAAAATGCACATCCTGAAATAGGTTACATATACATGAATGGTGTAGAAAACATCAAAACTGATGGAGTTGATAATGGTAACAACAATAATTTACTAATCAACTTAGCTGAGGAAGGTAGTGAGTTGTTTGAAATGTCAAAGAAGTTAGGTGTCACACCTCACCCATGTACACGTGGTGAGAAAGTAACAACTTTAGATCCTATCAACTTGTATCATAAAGTAGGTCATGGATCATTAGATATGTACATACTCAATCCAGTCACAGATAGCAAAGAGTTGAAGGAATTTTTCCAGCAGTGGACAAAGAAAGTTGGTCAATTTGGTACCCATCAAGGATTCCCAATGCCAGACATGTTTTCCATCTGTGCATTGTTAGTTTGGAAACCAACCAATCCTGAAGAAAAGATCACCAGGGTGCTTTTTCCAGGAAATTGTCCTCAACATAAAATTATTGAAGGTTTAGAGAAAGTAAAGAGTTTAGAAATCTTTAAACATTCATCATGTACTGGTAAGGATCTTCTGAAGCCTGTCAGTGGAGCCAAGAAAGCAGGGGCCCCTGCCAGTCGTGTATCTGCTACTAAATCAGCAACCAGACCTGCCTCTGCACCTGTCAAAAAAGAAGTCAGAAAAAGTCCGACAAGGACTCCAACAAAAACACCAACAACTCCAAGATCATCTCCCCCTAAAACTAGTAAACCAGACTCTGTTAAGAAAATTCCAGCAAAACCCAAGGATACTCGAAAAGAAAAGTCTGACAAGCCAAAGACACCTTCATCTAGTCCCTCTAAAGCATCAGGTGCTTCTTCATCACCTGCTAAAAGTATAACCCCAGTTGCTACTCCTGTAGAACCTGCTTCTCCTGCAAGTCATGCTCCTGAGCCAGCAGTGTCATCTGCTGTTGATGCTGTTGGAATGAATGGATTACCTGAAGGTCTTCCTAGTCCAGATCAATATGCTGCCATTCAAACAGGTGAAGCATCTGTTGCTTCACCAGCTGATCCTCAAGTAGACTATAGCAAGCAACAGCTAGCTGATTTGGGAATATATGATGAAGATGATGATGTTGGAGCTTCAGATGGAGGCATTGCCCATGATAGTTCAAATTCTCAACCAGTTGGCTCTTCAGTGGATGAAATTGATGAAAATATCCCTCACAATTTACCAGAGCCAGTTGCTGTATCTGAAAATGCATCTGTGGAACCAGATTTGTTACACGAAACTCCAGTTGACAAGGAAGCATCTATAGTTCAAAATGATGTGTTAGGGGACTCGGTAGATCCTCATGATGATTCAGTTGACCCCCAAAATGTTTTAGATGAATCAATGCAGTCAGAACCTGATGTTGTCCCACATTCAGATGATCCAGCATATGATATCCCTTCTTCTCCTGAACCTAATTTTGAGGAACAAGATTTACCAGCTATTGCTCCTGGAAGGACTGCTCCTTTACCAACCTTCACAAATGAACCTGATGTTGTACCCTCAAACGATGCTGTGGAACAGAATATCCAGTATGGTGTTACTGATGACAGTAGACAAATGGGTGCTCTTAGAGAAGAAGATGAGGATGAAGTTGAACGGGAAAACCCAGTTCCAGGAGCAGATGATTCACATGACTCACAGAATATGGAAGATCTTGGTATCTATGAAGATGACGAGGGAAGTCAAGATGGAAATGATAAAGGTGACCCATCAGCATTTGCTCAGGAAAAGAATACGGATTTTGAGGATGAGAGTATTCCAGAGACTGAGATGCAAATTGGTGATGATGGTATTGAAAATGATGCTACAGGAGACCAATCAAATATCTCTGAATGTTTTAGGGAAACTCCTCCTGCTCTAGAAAATGCCTCTGTACAAGCTTTGAATGGTACAAATGGCATTCATGAAGATAAAGATGACACTGACTCCATTGATGGAGGAACTCCAGAAGTCGAGAAAGGAATGCTAGACACAACTGGTAAACTAGAATCTCTTCAAGAAAGTTCTTTACAGTCTGGGGAAATTCCAATATCTCCAGAAAATCCAGACCAGCAATTTGAATCTCTCCAATCAGAAGGATTTAATCCTTTCCATGGCATTGAAGGTGGTGCAAATCCTGTACCATCTGGAAATGGAACACCCGGTTCTGAATTTGATCCTGTAAAACAATGGGGTGAGCCAATGGGCCTTCCTTCTCCGCCACCACCAGGACCTAAGTCAGCAGACAAAAATGCTAAACCCAAAGCTGCAACTAAAAAACCAGAATCTAAAAAACCAGCCACTGGTGCTTCCCTAGACAAAAAACCTACAACTGCACGTCCAAGCTCTGCCACATCCAAGGCACCGAGTAAACCAAATGGTGTGGCTAAGAAACCAGAAACAAAAAAGCCTACATCTTCTGTAGCAGATAAAAAACAGCCAGCTGCTAAGGCACGTCCTGCCACAGCCCCAGCAAGGACAGAAGCACCAAAACCTAAGACTGCACCAGCACGAAAACCAGCTGCTCGAACATCACCAGCTCCAGTAAAGTTACCTCCATTGCCTTCATTGACACCTTTCTATGTTGATCTGACATATATTCCTAATCATGGAGAGTCAAATTACTGTGATGTTGAATTCTTCAAGCGTGTACGAGCACGACATTACGTACTCAGTGCTTTGTCACCTAACCCAGAAACACTCAATGCTTTACTAGAAGCTAAACCATCATGGGAGAATAAAGATTTAGAAGTTATGGTGATACCTACATATGATAACGAAACACTGCGACATTGGTTGGGTCTTAATAAGGAAAAATTAAGTCAATTGAAAATAGATGTTGCTCCTTCTGCTAGTCGTTGTTTCATTCAACTTCAAGATCATGAAGCTAATTGTTCTGCCTATAGATTAGAATTCTAGGCTTTTTTGTTGCTTATTATTGTGAAGATGAGAATGAGCTAGAGTTTGCCATTTCAGACATCGTCAATAACAGGGATGATAATTTAGTTTGAGTATAGAAAGTTTTCAAAATTTCTGCTATAACTATTGCAATTTTTGTGTTGTAAGCATGTCCAAAGTCTTTTCTTGAGGCTTCTGGCCAAAATTAGGTTTAAATACAGTATAGTATTTGAAAACTTAGAACCTGATTGAAGGACCAAAAAAGAGATGGTATTGCTTGTAGTTTCTCTTTGTTAAGGGTGATTGAATAATGTTGATGGACCAATAGTTTATACTTTCACATGGGTATACTGAACTAGTTTTTATAAAGCTCTCTATCTAAATCTTGTCATGTTAGGCAATGTGTAATTTCTGACTACATAAAGATGTGAGTGTGTAAAATGTTTATTTGTGTGCTTATGTACCATGTATGTAAATATATACCTGTAAAAAAAAATTCTGCCCTGTCTTTTTCATACTGAATTGTTTATCAACAGGCTATAAATCATTCAAAAAGAGCATGCAAAACAATACATGAGCTACATATTATTTTGTAGGAAAATTGATGTAGATTATATAGGCTCTTTTGATGTATTAGAATAATATTTTGCAATTGAAACAAGAATAATCTAAAAAAAAAAAATAGTGATAAATTCTATTGTCTTTTCATGCTTAAATTGTGGAAGCAATAGTATGCTTTTGATGTTTTTCAAGTGTATGATATATATTTAAGCTTCTTTTAGCTATTTATTACATAAAACTTAATTTTAGCTTGATTTCCACAAGTTAACTCCAGTGATTCTAGACTTATCTTCAATCCATCAAAACATTTGATGAGATTTTTTGTGATACTGAAGTATTCTATGTTTTGGCTTTTGGAAATTTAGCTGAGGTTGTTTTTTCCAAGTGCCCAAAATAAGTTAGTGTGCAATAGACAGATTATTATAGTCAAATTTGTAAGAAATCGGAATGAAATTCTGTCACAATAAGCATAGATCTACCTTTATAAAGACAATTTGAATGAATTATATTCAATACTATAATTTAAAACCTAGTGGTTATTAGTATTACCAGTTAAGAATGATACAAACTTCTCTAAACATTTTATGAAATCAAATGTGATTAATCTATTTTTTTTTATCTTATTTGTAAATTCCTAGTTTGGGATCTTGGGGTGTTATTTCACTAATTTTAGAATTTTTTTTCACAATATTTCATATTTTTGTAGTATTTTGAGCCTTTGCATATTTCATTTCAATTTGACCATTATAAATTTTTAGCTTCCATGTGTTAATTCTTATTTCTATTTTATAATGCGCTATACTTTGTAAGGGTAGGTCGGGCTAGTAACTTTTCATTAGATCAAATGTGTAATGAACTTAATTTATTGACATCACAATGTGCTATTGAAATTTTGTGAAAACTTGAAATTTTGATATTTGTTGGTTAGAGATTTAGTATTATTAAAGTGTGAAATCGACTAAACTTTAATGTCTTTCAATATCTGTACAACTTTTTAATATGCAAATATTATCCTACTGTACATTTGAAATTTTGATAGATTTTAAGACATGATTATCTTATCTGAAAGCATTGAGCAAAGTGAACAGTTTATTACATGCATCAAACAATTTTGAAGGAGGATATTTGGTTTCCAATGTAATTAAATAAACTAATTTAGCTGGATAATGTGGTAACTACTATTTCCATGTGGAATCTGATATCACTAAAAGTGAATTTGCTTCCTCTTTCAATCAATGTTCTAGAATATAAAATTGTTTTGACATTAATGTATTATTTTTTGTTATTACAAGTTTGTCCTTGTACTATTTAATTCAATCTTTTTTGTTCTCTGTACAGCTTGATTTGGCTGCCAGTTATGGTATGTGGCCTTGGTTAACCATTTTGCTCCCCTATATTTAATGTATGTTCATTAATGCCACATGAAATAAATGCTTTCACTAAAACTTCTTATTTTATGTTTGTTGATTTCTCTTAAAAATGAACATGATGACTTCATCAGATATATCCTTCAATGTTTATAGGCTACTGGTGTAGCTTAATAGTAGCCACCTGAGGCTGCTGACAATAAACAAGTTTCGGACTAGAGCCTGGATTTAGCCACCTGTTCAGCATCGTCATGGCAAGAGCTCCGAGCAAATGATGTGTTATGAAAGGCACAACAATTTTCATTGTTTCAGATTGATTTGTGCTGGACTTGGATCTTGCCAGATATTTTTTGGTTGACATTTTAACATAAACTGATTATGGATCTCGTTCCGTCAAAAGCTATTTATAGAGTAGATTTCAATAATGGAAGTAAAGTGGATTAAAATTACTCAAGACAAATTTGGTAGGTAGGCCTATCTTTAGCATTGGTGTGCGACTTTTATATTATATTTCAAGATGATATAATGTCGATGGACGTCGTTATAGGCCTACACTGTTGCTCAAGGAACATTTGGCAGAAATCAGAAATACATAATGCCCAGGGCACTGGCACCCGCCAAGAGTCCTGGCTTCAAAGAATTGACTGATTCAAGAACACGTAACCAGCGTATCAAGGGTTTTTTCCTTATTCACCATCTTTTAAAATAAGACCATGAACCAGCTTTACCTGTCGAATATAGGGCCTATGGGTGCTTAAAGGGTGTAGGTTCCGAGAGCAACTTAGTTTTCAATTAATGCTCTTATCAATCGCTGGATTTTAAAGTCGACTAGAGAAAATTGCTATTCCGCTCAACCCTACAGGAATTGAGGGTTGGACAGATTGGAGGGGGTGGTAGGATTTTCCCCGAAAAGAAATGGTTTGTAGCCTATTCCCAATTGCACTGCACTTCATTTTTAATAATTCAAACATGTAGTTTTAACCCGTTTTTGCATCTAAATATGTGTTGGAATATACCAAATCAATTCTAATTTTCAAAAATTCAAAATAGGTTTTAATACCCCTGGAATCGAATTATTACGTAAATTATCTTTTTATTAATTTTAGAAGAGTGGATGCCTTTAAGTAATACAAATATAATTATAAACTTTGAAAAGTAGCACCGACGTATTTAGGCCTATAACGAAATTACCTGACAAAGCAACCCGATTTCTAATAATAGTACGTAGGCCTAATAATCTAATTCACAAGATGAATAAACTTTTAATTATTGTTAGCGATGGTAGGTTAAAGATGAGTAAATTCGGTGAAAAGCTAGGAATTTTAATATTTTTCTTTTTACTAAATCAGGAGTTGAAGTGGTATGGGCACAAAAAATGTTGGTCGTGGTCTTTCTTAATTAAAGGGAGGTAAGTCTTCTTTTCAATGGTGAACTACAGGCAATATCTATCTTGAAATTAATAATTCCGAAGACGAAGTGACAATTGCAACGATAATATAATATTTTTGACTGTCCAATGCATTTAATTTAATAATTGTGAAGTGAGTTTAAGAGTAATCAGCTGACACGGCTCGAGTCCATGAGGCCCGTAATTGAAAGGGGGGGGGGGGAGGGGGGGGGGCACAGCTAGGGGGCTGGAAATATATACCCCCACCTGCAAAATTAGAACAAATTATCAATTTAAGCTGAAATCAGTCTATCAGCTATTCTGCCCCCCCATTCAATTGCGGCTGACCCTTGTTACTCGAGCCTGTTGTCGGCTTATCATTACCCTTTCGACTATAGGCTTAGGGCCGCCTATCTAATAATATAAATAATATAATCATTAAATAGGTAGAAATGCTGGGTTACTTATGATTTTGTGTTATAAAGTTTTTCATATGATAAATTTTACATAATTGATACAAACAGGATATATCAGATTAAAACTTTCGTAAGATTTATTTTCTGTTTCTGAGTATTTCACTCTTCTTTTAATCGCTGTAGTAAACGCGTAATTTATGAATGAATCATCCGTGTTGACATGGGAAAACGTGCACCTTGCTGATTACACGCCACCTACCGACAACAGTCCAAACAATGAAATCCGGAGACGCCCGAAAAACTTGTTTCTTTTTTATTTGATGAATATTTCATATTGTTTTCAATTTTACCTGGTAAATTAATCTGAAAGTAACCGAAATATATCAGTTAAAGATATATATGATATTATTTTAGGGTTAAAATTGAGGGAATTCCATTATGACGTCATCTCCGTAAAATATTAGATGGCGGCGCGAATTCTATGAAAGTCACGTGACTTACCCATTTTTGTGAGCGCAAATTGAAGGTAAATGTTGACACCGATAAATTCCTGGATTTTCTAAAAACCGTGGTGATTTTATGCCTAAATACCTTGACAGTTATCAAGTTTAGATGTTCATTTGTGAGTTTTCTAAGGATAATTATTGAGATTCGATATCACTAAATCGAAATCGCAAATTGTAAATTGTGAAAAATCCAGCATGGCGTCACATGTTTTCCGACTCGATCACAGTTTTTTCTCCTTGTCTGAAAATTCTTTAGTGCATACTTCTCGGCTTGTACCATCCACCTCATGCCATTTGCATTGAACTGGAAAGTTAGGAATTGCACTTAAAATTGTGATCATTCCACAAACCTTTGGTAGTTTAAGTGATATTAGGTGTTTATATTTTCAGATATCGGTCAAATCTTTCAGATCACTCACTCGCATTGACAAAGGAAGTGAACAACAAAACCAGTATTTCAGACATGCTTGTCAACTTTTTCATTATTTAGATTTCTGTCCTGACCTGTTTAGTTGTAAAGACAATGTTTTGTTTGTCAAGTTGTGATTACAGATTAGAGAATCTGAATTCATGTTTGCTTTTGTGTTGCTAGATATAGCCTTGATATTTGACATTGACATTGATGTAGAGGAATTGATTTCATTACTTCACTTATGCAAGTTTTCAAAGTATTTCTTAATATCCACTTTTCTAGTGCTGTATTGTCGCAGAAATATCTCTGCAGTTCAGTTTATTTAACTTTCATTAGAGATCTATCACAAATGTTAATGGGTCTGGCATAGCTTTTAATTCAAGGTGTTAAAACACTTTTGTTTTGCAGTAATAATTAGACCTAATCTGGTTCATTCTAAACAAGTTAGGCTTAGTGACTAATTCTTACTCAATTGAGGGCCTTGATGAAGGGTAAACCTAAAGAAATCTGTTTTAGACAGGTATTTTTTACTTTACTTCCAACAAAAGCTTATCTGTTAAGAGTCTTAGAATAATCTTTTGTCAAGTTAATACTGACTACAATGTCACCAGTTTACAGAAGGGTTTAATAATGTGCAGCAAAATCTGTTTATAGGTTTATTTTTTACATTGTCAGTTTTTGTTCATAATTTCAACTTGAAGGTTATATTGTAGATTTAGTTGTTGGAATAAGGTAAATATATTCCATCTTATAGAATGAGTTGTTTAAGTTATAAGTCAGTGAAATAGAATGACAGGATGTACACTTGATGTCCTGTTTGAGTAATTAAAACTTTGTTTCTTCCTTGTTTAGGCCTATATGTTGAATATCTGATAATATATTTATTACAAATGTCATTTTTAGATTTTTAATCAGTGACAAGGAAATATTTAGTTAACTCTGTAGGCCTATGAACTTTTATTGTACATGCACCTTGATTTTTGCATGGGGTTACATCAAAGTGTTACCATGGTACAATATGTCATGATGGAAGCTTTTATTTTATCTCTTAATTTTAGAGACATTTTTGTCACACATCGAAAATTGGTAATGAAACTTAGAATGTCAAACAAGCAATGAATTTATGTTTTCAGATTTGTATTTGTACATAATTTGTACATAGCTGTATAGCATGAGTACGACAGTAGGCACCTCGCGTGCTACTAACATCAGATCTACTAAAGATAAACTAGCCAGTAAACAGATGACACAAAGCACAAATAGACAGAATGATGGTGGGGGAACACCAACTATTCCCAAAGACAAATATCAGGTATGTGTTTTGAAAAATAACAATGTGAATTTTCTATGAATAACATGTTAAATCCAAATTATCTGGAGATTGAACATTTTTTTTATTCATTTTCAAGTTACAAAATTCCATGTATTTCAGCCGACACAAGAACAGTTAAATATTGCTCACCTCACCACAAATAGTAAAGATGATGAATTGATAAAGAAGAAAATAAATCAGGTAGGTTGAAGTAAGGATGTATGGAGTAAGAAAATTGTTTCATTTTTGGGTACGGTACTAATAGTTTCCCTCCAAATCCAATGCTATTTATTTTCCTATCCTCTAACTCTAGCAGATTTCATATTAAACTTTGATTTGATGACTTAAGTGTGATGTTGTGGATGTCTATCCCAAAGGTGGTGAAACAAATAGTGAACATTTATAAGCAAAAAATATTTATTTTCGAAAACTATATATTTATCTTGCTTGACAATTGTATGATTAAGCTGAGAAAAAAGCATTCGAGAGAGTAACCGGGGAATTATACTAAAGCACAAGTCTTGATTATCACAGGAAAAATAGTACGACTCAGTGCTTTCAATGCAAACGTTCACGATGGATCTTGATGAACTCGGCTACGATTAAAATTGACTCACTGAACCAAAACGATTTTTAACAATTCTGCTTAATCATACGCGGGCATGAATAAACCACACCCTCGTCATGTATTTTACAAAAAATGATGATGACGGTATACCGTCAGTCCGTCACTATACTGTCACACATGACGGTATATCGTCAAATTGAAGTTAAAACCGCAATACAGATTAATTTGGTGATACAAATACCGTGAAAATCCAATACCGTGGTATAGTGCTTTTCACGGTATACCGCCCAACCCTACTTACAAGTGTGTCAATGTGTTTATTGGAGATGTTAAAACTGACTTGTGACCACTGAAATATTAGAATTATTATTAACATTAGTGGTTTGTTATTAGTTGGTGGAAATGACAGGTAAAAATGAGGAACAGGTAGCAGTAGCATTATTAGATTGTGGAGATGATGTAGAGAGAGCAGCTTTACTGTTATTAGAAGGTGGTGAAAGTAATGAACAGGTAAACGCTTGTTTCCCCTTTTGATTTCTTAATGACCAGCCATATGTGTATGGAAACTCTAGTGTTAATTTATATTTGTGATGCACCTTTTACTAAATATCATCTTCCAACCTAAAATTGTTTGAAAAAGGAAGCTATTTTTATGGCAGTTATATATCAGATTATTTATGAAAACAAATGTGATTTATTAGCCACTTTTCCTTACTAGTAGTGTATTATTCTGTTCTGTTTAGGGTGAATGGAAGAGTCAAGGAAAGAAGAAAAAGCCAAAAAATGCCACACCACTTCCCCCACCTCAAAAAAATGATCACGCACAGAATCACTCATCAGAGAAGCCTGAATACAAACGTGATAGAAGTAGGGACAGGGACCAAGATTCTTCAGACAGATATGATGGATCTTCTCGACGTGGTCGTAGTAATAGAAATGGTGCTCCTCCACCAAGGTTTGCTAGGGGACGTGGACGTGATAGAAATTTTTATGGTGGTGATAGGAGTAATGAAAATGGAGAAGATAATCGAGAAAATGGCTTTGATAATCGTGATAGAAGTGGTGGACGAGGAAGGGGTAGAGGTGGATTTGGAAGACGTGGTCGTGGAAGGTAATTACCTTATATCAACTCTCTAAATCTTGGGAAATAATTTGCCAAATGAGTCAAAATAGAATATGATTTATCTTTAATAAGTAATTTTTGTTGATATTTTCTGGAGTAAACCAAATTTGGGAATTTTTGTCACTTGTTAAGAAAAACTGTAACATCTTTTTTATAGGGGAGGTCGTGGTGGTGGTTCAGGTGATTTTGGTGGTGAATTTAACAGTACAAGTAATGATAAGTCACCTAAATTTGATAAAGGACCACAGATTGATACATGGACAAATGAAACAGCTGAAATCCAACAAAAGGAACCTGCAGGGTGGGGATCAACGTGGGGTGCTGAAGACTGGAATGAAGATTCATGGACTGGAAATGTAAGTATTGTTACAGAGCATTATGTTGATTTCCGTAACAAATGAGCTCTATAAGGTAAGCTTACAACATAATTGGAATGATAACTCTGTTGAAATATTAATATATTGAACTTTATATTTTGCATTATTATGAATTTCTGTTATAAACATGGTCAGTAAGATTTCAGTCTATTTGAATTTTTTTCTCACAATTGTATCCTTCAGCTAATATCATTCTTTATTTCTAGTTGAATGAAACTCAAGTATTCACATCATCGCGTACCCAGGAGGAACAACCCTCGTCAACACAACAAAATGATACCAGTTCCATTGTTGGACAGAGGTATATTATACTTATAACCAAACTTTTATAGAAAGTCAGTTTTTCATGGCCTTAAAATTTTATAGGTCGCTGGTCTCCAATACAATATACACCAGCTGTGATGTATATGAATAACAATATAAGTTCTTTTTAAACAATCATTTTCATTAATCTAAATCTGTTATTAGTTATTAATATGAAATATCTTATTAAAAACATAAAGTTATTTAGAAGTGATGTATTTTTTTGTTGCAGGTTAGATTTAGGTATGCTTTTACAAAAACCTAATGAAATCCAACAACAACCTAAACAACAATCTTTTAACAGTATGTCCCAGTTTAATCAACAAGCTACAGAATCTATTAAAAACTGCATAGGGGTAAGTTGATGAGATTAATAATAAATCAAAGTAATTAAATTAAATTGTGTCAGATGCTAATGAATAATGATAAGATTAAAGAACTATTCATTATATATTCTGATTCTGTTACAGATTGGTGCATCCCGTCCTTCGAATCTCCAAACAAGTCAGTCTCTAGGACCAGTTGGTTCATTATCCCAGAGTGTTCAATCAAATAGTATCCAGTCTCCATCATCACAGACTGGACAATCGACTCTGGCTGGACAACAGGCACTACAACAGAGACAGGCTAAAATACAGAGAAGTAAACTACCACCTCCATCTAAGGTAATGATAATTCTTAATACGTTCATTTTGTTGAGGAACATAATGAAGAAATTTCTTTCTAACCAAATTTTGTTTTTTTTACGCCCACATGAACGGGGGTGTATATTGCTGTCACCCATTTGACGTAACTTGGTGTGAGTGTTATCATCCAAGGATGATTCCTTTTGAAAATCAGAAAAATAGAAAAATATTTAGTTTTTGCCCTTGTTCTTGAAAACACGTTCAATTTTTAGCTTGTAAACATCATAGAAGGACCAATTCTTGAGAGATGTTGATGAAAGTTGGTAATATTATTCAGTAACACCTCAAAAAGTTCAAAAGAAGTGTAAGACTGAAGGTTGATTATTTCATACTGGTAATTGTTACTGAACTGCCAAATATTTTTATTTAGAATCAAAGCAGCTGGTGGGCATATATTACCTTGCCTGGCAAGCTATCTTTCTTTTTTGACTTGAAACCCATAATCATGCTCTATTCTGCATGGTTTCAATAGAGCTTGAGTGACACCACTTACTTTTGTTTTGATTTTAGATTCCAGCTTCAGCAGTTGAAATGCCTGGCCACAGAATGCCAATGTTGGATGTTCAGTTTGGTGTGGACTTTGGTTCTAATAATGAGTCTGCTGCCACAACATTGTCATTTGGTGGAGCTGACAGTACAGTAACCAGATTACCTACATCAGTTACTAATAGGTATATTTGAACATTTACAATTTATATTAATTTTACCCTGTTACTAAATCTTAGCTTTGTCCTCTTTTTACTTCTTGACAGGTAAGGAAAACTCTTTCCTGAATTCATTATGGTTAAAAGCCTTAAAAACAATTAGTCCAATCATTAGTTTCTTTCTTTCAGTCCACCATCTTTGAACAATCACCTACCAATGAATACTGCTAACAATACAGCTGATTCTATAACATCCGCTATAATGGCATCTCCGTCTGCTGGGAGTAGTGCAGGTGTTATATCTGGATTAGACCAGTCATCAAGATCAACCAGTTTGTTCCAGAGTTCAGCCTATTCATCACCACCTAAAAATGAATCGCAATCTGTGCTCACACAGAATAAGGTCAGACATTTTAATTTTGTTACATCATTTTCTTTGTCTTTGTATAAATATGTTTGTTTTAATTGAATAAGGAAAAATCGTTGAAAGAATATATAATCTGATGTTCGACAATTCATTGGCCATATTTCTTATTATTATAGATGAGTCCACCTGAATCTATACCATTCCCAAGTGAACACAAGTCAAGTCCATTGGTCAACCAGAGGACAGTCCAACCATCTGCCAATTCTATAGGTCAGGGTAGGTTATATTTTATATATTTTTTGATAGATATAACTTTGCCGATTGAAACTAAATAATATAATTGCAATTTGAAATACGGAAATTGTTATTTTTGCTGTTTTATGTTCATTATTCAATACAGATCAGTACATTTGTGAAGATTGTAATAATTATGTCATAAATTAAAACATGCTTCCCTTGATTAATATTCAGGTTCACTATCAAACAGTCAAGATTCAGCAAGTTTATCATCAACATTTGGCCAATCAGCTGGTAGCTATCAATCTGGATCTTATCAGGGACACAAATCATCTAACTTGCCTGGCTCTCAATCATCCTACACTCATACTACCAACTCACAAAGTAGTAGCTATCAGAGTCCGTATCAATCTAGTCAGAACCAGTATCAATCCAGCTCAAGCCAGTATCAATCGTCTCAGAATCAGTTTGGACAGACTTCAAGTCAAACACCGTATCAATCCTCTCAGAATCAGTATCAGTCGTCAAGTGGACAAAATCAGTATCAGAGTGGTCAAAATCAATTCCCATCTGGACAACAAAGTTACTCGAATTATCAGTCTGGTTCATCATTCCAATCTCAATCAGGTTACTCTCCAAACCAATCAAATACAAGTTCCTTGTATCAGAATTCCGCTCAAGCCAGTGGTGCATACCCAGGACAGTCCTCAAATCAGTCAGGTGGTGCGTATCCAGGACAGAATTCATCAACTGGTAGTGGTGCATATTCAGGACAATCTTCAACACAGGGCAGTGGTAGTTACTCTGGGTCTAGTGCATCTCAGAACACTGGTTCTTATTCGGCACAAAATGCTGCACAAAGTGGATCTTATGCGGGACAAAGTGCATCGCAAAGTAGTGGAGCCTATCCTGGACAGGGTGCGGCTCAGACCAGCGGTGCTTATTCAGGACAAAGTGCATCTCAAGGCAGTGGGGCCTATTCTGGACAAAGAGAAACTCAGAGCGGTAGTGCCTACTCTGGACAATCAAGTTCTTATCATATGAGAGACTCTCAATCTTCAAATAGTGCTAATACAAATCAATATCAGACTCAATCACCAGGACTTGCTACATCTCCAGCTCCCAATCAGACGGCTTTCAGTGCTCAGACCTGTCAGTCATTCAATGTTCAGCCATCACAAACTCAAACTGGTTATAGCAGTCAAGCTGGACCCAGTCAAAGCAACTATAGTGCTCAGTCCTTTAGTGGATCCTCAACTCTTCAGACTTCTCCATTAACTACGTCCAAATTAGGAGATAGTTTGACCAAAATGACCTTGAAGGATTCTAGTATGGACAGTCATGTGACCAATCAGGTAATTGAATGTGCTATTTATAGTATTGTTGAAAATGTCGAGTCCATTTCATGTTGTTTGGAAAACTGAATCACAAAAATGATATAACAATTCCAAAAAATTGTGATCTGTGTGAACATGGTACAGCTGGAAAGACTTTAAATGATTAGATTTACAAATTTTTCCATTGAGATTTGAAGATCAAACAAAATCTTGAGAATCGTAAGTTCAGATCTCTAGAAGCAAACTATAGATTAAGTCCCTGAAGCTGTTGATAAGATTTGAAATGTGCTTTAATGTTACTTTGTTTTTAAATTTTAGTATGACCATTCATCAACATCAACTCCGAGCTTAGCAGCAACTACATCAACACCTTCATTATCAGGTGTCTCTGTTAATTCTGTTAGCTCAACATCAATTTCTGCAGTAACAACAACAGCAAGTTCAAGAATGTCCTCTATGAGCTCTAATACTTGTAAGATTATGCTAATAATATCTTAGTTCACATTAAAGTAACTCTCATTACCTTTGCAGTTCTGCTATTTTCCATCAATTTCTATTGTAAGCTACATTTGAATGGAATGTTTGAAGGAAAATTGTCAAAATTCTTTTGACATGAACACTTGAATTCCAGTCATATAATAAAATCTATATGAAAAAATTTATTTTGCAGCAAAAGCTCCACCCAATTTGCCTCCTGGTGTACCCCTGGTAGGAACACCACAGTATATAATGGGACAAGCTGGTGCTGTGCCATCTTTCTACAGTCCACAACAATTCTATGGGTATGAAGATCAGATGCAACTCTTGCAACAGAGAGTGCCACTTGTAAGTTGATACAGAATGCTTTGATTTTCTGAGAAAATGAATCTTGTAATATATTTGCAACTAATGACGGACACAAGATCGTGTCTAGAAAAGTACTTACTATATTCAATATGGAATTTGATCTTTGTTGTTGACTGATTAGTATTACTATTTATATTCAGGCTAACAACTATTATGATATGACAGCAGCAGCCACATATCAAGTACCATCCTCATTGTCTACAGCAGGAAGGGATCAGGCTTCACTGGGTAATGTTCAATATTCAGGTACTTTGTTAATACCTGGTATATTTCATCTTCATTTTTCATCCATTTTCATTTTTCATCCATCAGTATTTACTAGATTAGTCACGTGGGTCTAATCTTATGTCTAAAATTGATGAAGTGAAATCAGAATATCAGCTAGTTTTAGAATGACTTGCATTCATTCATTTGTTTTGCCAAAATAAAATTTGTGAAAGGATATGTGATGAATTGACATTTTTCTTTTGCATATATTAAAGATGATCTTAGATTAACCTTCAAATTAAGATGACCGTAATGTATCTTGAAGGTGTATGATGGATATCCAGTCTGAAATGACATATTGTCAAAAAAAAAAGATGTTGCTTTTGAATATCCTTTTAATATCCACAATATGTTATCAAGCAGATCCTGCGTCCTTAGCTACTCTGATAGAAGACTGAAAGTTCTCTTTGCTTTCTATAGAAATATTTGACGATAGTATAATCATCCCTTGCGTTAATTGAACTAACATATATCGATTTCAGTAACCTCAGATAGTAGTAAATTAAATCGTGTTGAAGCCCAGTCTCCAAATCCTTCGACACAACAACAGACTGGTCAGTCTGCCCATCAACCATTCTTCTATGGTTATTACTATCCTCAAGTTTTACCTGGAAATGGATTTCAAATTCCTACCATGTATCCAGTAAGTATTTCAGTTAATAATTTTATCATTATGAATCTAAAAACGGTTTATCATATATACATGTATATCGATGTAATATATCAGAATGTAAGAAGTTCAATCACATATTTCTATTGGTTACCAATATATTTTTTTGAACACTGTGTAGTGTTGTTTTTATAAGGCCACTCTGAGGGGAACAGTTGAACTCCCACTTCATTTGATTTATTAAGATGATAACAAAGAATTTGTAATTGTAGATGCCTGCTGTGACAAATACACCCCATGCCAGTACTACTGCAACTACTCAGTTTCAGAAAACATTTGGATCTCATGGATATGGAACAAAAGGTTGGTATGATATGTAGTTAATGCTTTCTTTAGAGTGTTCTCTGTAAAGCACATTTCAAACCTACTGTCCTCAATAAATATCTGCCATAGCCATAAATTATACTTGCAACAGCATCCCATTGTATCAAAATTGAATCAGTTTGCTTTATCTGCAATATCTACCTCCAATCTCATATATAATATATATATATATCTTTCTGCAGCTTATGATGAATTGAGCCAAGTTCCAGATTTTACTAAAACAGCTTATGGTGTTACTCCATCTCAGACTAAAGTTACTGCAGGCACCAGTATGTCTTTTTCTTCTTACCTTTTTTTGACACACTCGAACATTTTATTTCATATGTAAATTCGCCTTAGTTGGTCACCACAGTAATGTTTGTAGATCTATTGAAATCAATGTGTTTTCCCAATGATTAATTTGTCATTGCATTAACATTCAAAATTTTATTTAAGTTAGAATTATTGGTAAATATGTCTGTTACTTCCATGAGATAAAAAATAATTTGTAGTGTGTGAGAAAAATGATGCCTATCCTTTACCAAAGTTAATGCTTAGCTTAAAGTTTCGTTTGCTTTCTGACCATTCAATAGATAAATTATAATTGAGTAAAACTTTTTATATATATTATATATTTTGAAGAAATATTTTTGTGTATGAAGGTCTAGAAAATGGTTCCTGAAACAGAATATTAATGCTTTAAATTAATATTTTCAGGATCAGGTGAATTGGCAGGTTCGAGCTATACTAAATCACATTCACAGGTAAGGAATTTTAAAAATTGCGTCTTTCAGTGGCTGCTACAGGCCTAACAATTCATGTGAATCTCTGAATCTCATTCAGGCTAAAACTCTCGTAAGGACTGAAATCTTGCTGTATTGGCTCCATATCGTTTCAATTTGTCCCTGCACACTAAATTTTTTATCTAAAAACTTCCATATCCTTAATAACTTGTCTGATATTTATTTTCAAAACTCGAGAACCTTCCTGGGGAATTTTCGATACACTATACTTTCCCCTTACGTGACGCATGTTCTATTATGAAGTCATAGTTGAGATGTTATGAGAAATCGAACACACCTATATCGCCAATTGAAGTATTTTTAAACAATAGAAATTTCCGGGCTCTGATATTTTTACCAACCCTTTTTGGTCTGAAAAAATAACTATGAATATTGACTAGCAGTGAAATAAAATGGCCTCCACTAAAAATGACAATTCTTTAGATCAGTTCTCAGAATTTCACAAGTTTACCAATATTCCATTGTATTTAAATTCTAAGTACAGCATTTGAAGAACTCTTGCAGACTGCCGTTGTGGGAATACATAAGAATTCTCCTCGATTTGACATATTTTTAGGCCTGCTGCTAATTTAATGTTTAATCCTAACTGTAAATTCACTTCACTGTTTTTAATATTTTGTTTGAATGATTAAATGATTGTAGCTCTAAGTGATTGGTCATAAAACCAAAATTATATCAATGGCTGAAACATATATGCAGCAGAATATTGGAATAGAGAAACAAGTTCTTCTGTTTCTACTTTCTTGCATATGTATAATATTTTCAATAACGGGAATCTGTTGTTCTACATGCAGCCATGTAAATTTGCAAGTAATTTTCCATATAATTTGACAGCTACAGCTACATACACATGTTCAATGTAGATATTATCGAATAGTTTTGAGCAAGGGTTTGATTAACGTATTATAATGATATGATTATGTTTGTAGGCATTTGATAAACAGGGATTCCATGCTGGAACACCTCCACCATTCTTACCACATGGAACAGCCAATCAAACGGGACCACTAGGAACTCCAACCAATCCATATGCTGCAACTGGTCCTTTTGTTCAGATGGTAACACCACACAATCAGTTGCTACATCAAATCCATCAGGTAAATAAAAATCTCTTAACATCTCAAACTGATCATTTTAAAAATTTCTGATTTGAAGTGTAATCCTCTTTTAACATTGTTTTGATTATAAAGTTAAAATATAATAATGTGACAAAAGTAAGAAAAGAAACATATATTTGTGTTTTTTTTATCAGGTTATACGACTTAATAGATTTGTACAGTTTTTATTAGTTCTTATACTCTATGTCACTGAATTGTTAAGTGATATTTTCATCTTGTCCTATCTTTTTACTGAACATTTAGATGGTGGTGGTTAAAGTTGCTCTACCTAATTTTATAAAGAATGCATTTTCTTTTTCAGATGGCATCCCCTAACTAAAACTCAAGAGCTATGCCACTTGAAATCTTTTACATATTTCTTTATTATAGGATTCATCAGTCTCGAATCGTATGTCCCAGCAATCTAGCTCTCATACTAAATCTGGTGGATCAAAGGGCTATGGTAGTGGAGCCTATTGGGGTGCCAGTTAAATCTTGAATCTGGTTGTGTCAGAAAAACATCAGTGATCAATATTTTGAATGGGGATTTTTTTTTCGCGTTGTATTGTCTGTTCTATATTTATCTTGTAAATTGATATCTTTTTGTGTCCCCCTATTGTACAGTTATTAAGAAGGGAAGCCCTGTTTTGTTAAGGGAGTCTTCAGTGAAACATTAATTTTTTGAATTATATTAAAACCATATATATTAATAGAAAGATTAAATCTTTATTTGTTGCTACTTGCTTGGGAAATGTGGGAAAACCCCGTCTATTTTGACAATTTTGCTGCTTGGTTAGCCTAAAAGAATAAAATAAAAGGTGAAATAGTGAGACTAAAAAGTCTACCATGAAATTGTATATCAATATTTATTTGTGTTGTAGTGGAATATTAACTATCATAGAAGACAGATATTTGTACAGTCATTAATTTGCAGTTTAATTTTTTTCATTTTAAGATTTATTCTATGTATGTTTATGATGAATTTGTTGTCAGGTTTTCTAGTAATCAACTTAAACAGTATGAGGGCTAAGTCAGAAAGACAAACATTTTGTAGATTTGTTGTTGGTGCCTTAATTGCTAAAAGTTGTAAAGAAACTTGATATATTTTGTAGAGTCGAGCTGAGCCAACAGAAAACCAAATTAAATTAGAAGCTATGTGGGCTAATTATTTTATTATAAAAAATATTGTGTACATTTTGTAAATTAAATTTAAAAAAAAAAATATTTGAATAAGATAAATATAGGTACCATCCTACTAGTAAATAGATTTTAGTTTACTGTAAACTCAGCTCCAAAGGATACGTTTTTTGTGCGTGATTTAATAAGCTTTAACGCGGTGTTTAGTTATTATATTGTATTAAAAAAGAAAGTAATATTGTGCTCATTGGTAACTCTAATGTTGATTTCAGGCTAGCTAATTAGATTTATACAATACTTGGCATTATAAAAAAAATTATTGCAAACGCCTGATTTAGCATTTTTATTTTCCATTTTTAACCTAAAAGTTGTGTTCAAAAATTGAGATAGAAGACCCTTTAATAAGATAGTATTAAATTGAATTTTGAAAGCAAAGAGAATGCATGAGATTTGATGCCTGCCTGAAATTGATGTTATGTCAGATTATCTTTGTCATAAAATCATGAAACATGCATTAGTGCCATTTGTAATGTAATCATATGTATGTTTTATATATATATATATATATAGTTTGTTTTATCATAACATCTCCCTTTAATTCTATCGTTTTCCCTATCCTTTATTTCATTTCTTTTTGTTTATAGTTTTCTCTTTTTTGTGCTTTTTAAAGATATAAGAGCTAATAAAGGTATCTTTCATTGTCAGTAATAAATTTCTGAAATACTTTGAAGTCTTGTTTAAATCCTTTGTGTTGTTCCCTAGCAACTCTATATCACTACCTCAGGACACAAAAGAATGACAAAGGCCCTCTTTTTTAGAATTATATAAGCAATTTGAAATTTAAGCAGGATAAAATAACTAGATGCATATAATCTTCATTCGAAATTAATTATTAGAGCAGATATTTGTCCAGTTTGTTTGCTTCAAACTCTTTAAGACTATTTTCAATACCAGCCATGAGGTGGTTCCATATATTGAAAGCATGGTTATAGCTGAAAATCGGACTCTACCTATTCTCAAAGAAAGGGATTGCAGCCTTGAGTGTTCTAGATTATGCTCATGAAATGGAAGCCAGTCTCCTGAATTTTTATTAGACGGAAGCTGGTGGTACATTTTGCAATTAAATGAAAGTTGGTCTGCTCAAAACTCACCCTACTCAAAAATAAAGAATTTACATCTATCCTATGATAAGCTTATTGTGGTGTGCACAATGCCTCAATTATTGTAACCGTCTGATTTGTTGGTAGTACCTAACATTTGCGTCATTTTCAAGGTCAAGGTTTCCAAAGAATGTGATGAAAATCCAAGTAATTTTCACATTTTAAATAACTCAATAACAGCTGCTTTCACTGGATTATTCTTAGGTATTTTTGAACTCAAAGATCGTGCAATGATTTCAGTGAGTAATAAACAAAACTAAAACTGGTTTATGAATGTTTTGGAGCAAATTGCTTTCAGGAATGGTATATCTCATTGGCATCGAAATGTGTCGTGATTCTTAGGACTAAGGACATGGGTATTTGCATCTCAATTGAACGTTCATACAGAAATAAAAGCCAATTTTAGATTCATAAAAGTGACCTACAGATAATTTAGACTATTGGTCCACAGAAGCTAATGGTATATTTTAACATTAGAAGGTATATAAATGACCAATATAAGTATTGACTATAAACCAAAAGACATGAATAGATCATAAATCACCTGTTTAGTTGAATCAATCTATGATATTGTGTTATAAAACTTGTTGACTTGTGAACAATGTAATCTAAGGATTGTCTATAGTCAGTGATAAGGTTTAAGGATTTATGTTAATCCAGCAGAAGACAATCATAGCATGTTCAAAGGTAGGTAAGTAGGACTTTTTATTTTTTAATTTCATCGAATTCATGAATATGATAGAAAATAGGAATTGACCAAAGTAAAACTAACATTACCATAAATGGACAGAATCAATACACAAAATCATCAGGAGCATAAGAATTAGTGTATTCTATAATGCAGCTTCTTTAATGAAGTTTCTTTGATAAGTTACTTAAGTAAGTTCTCAAACACAGTGGTGACACCGTCTTCTGAGGAAAGATTCTCAAAACGGTATTACTGTGGATGTAAACATTCAATATAGGGCTCTCCCCCACCCCAAAAAATATTTGAAAACTAAAATTGATTGGTGCATTTGATTAAACACATATCGGGGCAAAAACATTAAAATTTCTTAAAAATGAAGTGGGGGTACTGGGGGAAAAATGTACCCCTACTGATGCTGCCACTGAATACTCATATTGCTTGGCACAGTATGTTTTCAATGTTTGTATTGAATTCCAAACATATCTCCAAGGATGATCTCTTTTTGTTCTCAATGTAATACATAGGAGTTGACAAGTATATAGGTCTAATCCAGGATAATCACTCAATCATTTCAATACATTAAATGAATGAAGTTTTATATATAACTGTTGTGAAGACTGAAAGGAATAAAGTGTTCAATTCAAGGGACACATGGAAGGTGTTTTATTTCCTTCTTTCTACAATTGGAAGAAATTTTGGAAGGTAATTTGAATATTTAATTTCCGAAAAAAAAAATAGAAATTTTAATGTGATATTTTGTAATTTATCAGTTTGTTTCACATACACACACACATGCTCACAGGCATCTGTTTCTATCAATTGTCGACCCTATTTACATAGTATATATACTATATGTAGATAGAGTCGACTATTGATAGAAACAGATGCCTGTGTGCATGCTGCTTTGATATTAGTAAATTATTAGTACAATTAGTGGATTGGAGAAAATTTCCAAGGAGTCGAAATGCGTGCAAGGAATTTGTTAGACGTATGAAAATAGAAATAATCGCAGACCAAGATTCATGGTATCTTTACACCATAGTAGATGAGATGTCTATATTTGTCTGTCTCATGCCTGAATTTCTGAAAAATGATAAACAATAACCCTTTCAACTTATATATTTGTTGGACATTCCCTGCCATGTTTTACAAACTGCCAAACACAATAACCATGAACAATTGTTTGTCAACAGCTATCAATACTACTACTCATTATAAATTACTCAACCTAATATCAATTTCTATACATTTGTCAAGAGTATTGTCAATAATTTATAAATTACTAGGTAGTTCAATATATCACCTGTTTATATATAAACTTGTATTGAAAGGAGTTGGCCCTCTAAACATTCTAGATATCTAGATTTTACAAGTTTTGGACATCAGAGATGTTTCATGACATGTCACTTTCATAGTATTATTTACCATCTCACGTTTTGTTATTACCAATATTGTGATGTCATTGGTAAGAGTTTACTCAAGGATGCCCTGGAAGTGAATAAAATCTGAATTGGTGTGGTACACTTTTGTTGTATTGTATAAGAACCAGACACTTGATATCATTCTGAGAAGTGATATAGATCGTTGACTGAGCTGGTAAAAGAATTTCTCAGTATCACATTTTTAGAAATTGGAAAGTGAAATACTGAAGTGCATTATTCTAGTTTACATTTGTATTCAATCTTGTAAACTTCAGGTCGCCTCATTGCATTGTTTTGAATAGAAAAATAGGTTGGCCTGGTTTAAAATAAAACATGTTTTTATGACATTTAAAACGCTCCCCCTCTGAAACTTCCTCTCAGGATGCAGGATTTTAAATGTAAAAACCGTCTGCCATGTTTTATCCTATACATAGCAATAGTTATTAGATTGTCCTATGTAATCTATTTGAAGAACGTCTTTATTTAAGATGAATATATTTATAATTGATATATTTATATCAGTGAGATAAATTTAATCTTTTTAACCTTACAATTTATATCCTGAATACAGTTTAATAAGAATCTGTTTACTACCTACCTATCTATACAACCGTTATATCTATTAAGACTCTTTTACTATCATGTAAGTCTTTCATAACCTCAGACACAAATTTACTTTGAAATTCTTTGATTTATTTATAAAGTGTGCTTTTAAAGGATTTAAACATTGAATGTAAGTGTAAGGTGGTAAATATTTATTATATTTAGTTCAAATGTAGTCTTCATTGTAAATATATAACAAAATTAGTTCAAAGGCTTAGTAAAGAGGTTTTCTCAATTTTTTATGTGTATCAGGGACCCAAAAGATATGCACCATTCTAATTTCCAGTCAGACACAATTCCATTATATTGCAAGAAAAAAAATAAAGAATTGGAAGGTGAAAATCAATGTTCCCAGCCGATGAATGGTGAATAGCAGAAAGAGTTGCTCCAGAATGAGTAAGTGATCTTACGTCAAGGAGCAACAACATTGCTATTGAATTTAATGAAGCATATCTACCTATTTTATTGACATCATAGGTTATTGTAGAACACTGGCATAGATTTACTTTAACAACACTTTGTTTGCTGTATTAGTACCAGAAGACCATTTCAAATACCACAGATACCAAATTGAAAAGAATTATCAAAATATGTGCTGAGGTGAAAAAGCAAATCCTTTCAAATTTATTTAAAATAACCTACAAATTATTATTTTCTGCATGGTTTCTTTGATGTAAATTTCCAAGTCTTGTAATATCAAGTTAGTATATAGTCAATACAGTAATAAGTGAGATATAAGGGTAAACAAATAGGGGTTAAATACTCCTCAATAAACAGTAGCACAGTTCATAAAGGCTTCATACCTACAGTAGAAGTAGGTAAGAATGTAAACACTGTACATTGTATATCTCCAGTACAAGTTCAAAACTGATAAGACATTTATTTTTCAAACATACTATGATATTTATATAATTTAGACAAAAAGACACACAGAAAATACCTAATTCATGATGGCTCTATGATGTGATACAAACATCATAGACAGAATGAGAATCATTCACAATAAGTTCTTTTGTATCTGAATCAGGTTTTGTAGAAGTCATGGATTTATAAAATATAAATTAACACTCTATGTTTAAAGTTTCCCACAAGTGAAAGTTTCCATAGCTCTTCCTTATTTGACGATTAGTGGCATCATCAAACACTTAGTTTTACAGGAATTGCAGGAACAGACGTCTGATTGAAAATTGGAATGGTGCAAATCGATGCTATCAGCATCTCTGATACACATGAAAAATTTAGTAAACCTCTTGACAATCTCTTTAAAACTCTTTGATTTTAAATCATGTGTTGTATATGTTGAAAATTTCTTGCCAATTGAATTTTTTATAAGGATATGAAAATTTTTCCTGATTGTACAATTCATTGTGTGTCCACCTCAATAAAATTCAAGCTATTGCCATACATATAGTGGAATCCAATATGTTTAGATTGGTTCAATTTTTACCTACTTATTATCTGTCAAACTAATCAAACTAAAACATTAGTAGGGTAATATAATAGTAGAATATAAAGTGGAGAAGACAAGTTGAAACATGTACCCTACCCTACCTTCAATGTCTGATCAATACTCAACTACACTAGGCAATCAATCAGTAGTGATCACTAGTTATAATACCTTTGAGTCTGGATTAAATGGACATAGAAATAATGAGGGTAAGGGCCATTTCTCATTTATTTAAATTTTTGCTGAGTAGAAACCAAATGGGGAAACATTATACATACTATTTTCAGAACTGTTAGGACACTTCATTACCTTGCCTGGAAAAGATGAACCTAAGAGTTTATTACAAGGTTTACAGTGAGCAGAACTTATTACCCAAAATACTGAATTGCTATCATATCACCTGCGGAT